TCTTTTCAAAACAAATGCTTCACTGCTTTTCTTTTGCAAATAAAATGACACCATTAGTTCAGTGCAATTGAAGAGCTGGGCAGTAACAAATGACATGCAGCAGCAATGCAGGAGGAAGGGGAGGGAAGCAAATACTTGTTAAAAGTAGAAAACGGGAAAGAAAAAAAAAGCATTTTTTAAATAGGAAAGAAGTAGCTTGGAAACAAATTTTAAAATGTATCATGAGGAAAGGCTTCTGTGACAGGAAAAATAATGATCTGACTACCCGTTTTTTTAGGAAAAAATAGACGGTAAAACTGCTTTCATACATGAATAACACTTATATACTCCCACAGTAAGGGAATGTGATCGAAGTTGCCAAGAGAAAAATAAGGAAATTCCAGAATCAATGTTGCCCGAGAAGGCTTCATGTGGCCAGTTCGTGTGTATGCATGAAGAAAACACATTTTTTTAAAAAAAAAAAAAAAAAAAAAAAAAAAAAAATTACAAAATGCTTTGCCCACAGGACCATCCTTGTTTAGTGCAAAGGATGGATGGATGGTTCTCACTTAATAAAAACCTATCCTGTGTTTTGTTTTCCCCTTAGCAAGTGATCCTATCCGTCATTTACGGCTTACTGCCCAAGCCCTGCTCGGAAAACTAATGCACAAATGTTTTCTACGGGCTGTTCCAGATTGCTCATCGCTGCAGCCTTGATTTTAAGAACTATCAAAGCATTTATGTTCACAATAGCATTATGAGGGGAGGGCTGACTTGGCTCCATTTTAGACACAAGAGAAATTCATGTCAAAACAGAACTGCTAATTTTACGTGCCCATCTGAAGCTGCCTGGCTCTTCAGGGTAAAGCGGCACCAGGTTGTACGTCATATCTTTTGAAGTACAAAGGTCAACGTCGAGGTGCTTTAACCATCAGATTGATCTGTCAGATCAACTGTCTTCCTTAAAACGTCTCGCTTTTGTACATTAATTGCCTACAGTAGAATTAGTCTCATCTGGTTTGTATCTGCCTTTTTTCTCATAGAATGGTTTGGGTTGGAAGGGACCTCAAAGATCATCTAGTTCCAACCCCCCTGCCATGGGCAGGGACACCCTCCACTACACCAGGTTGCCCAAAGCCTCATCCAACCTGGCCTTGAACACTTCCAGGGATGGGGCAGCCACGGCTTCTCTGGGCAACCTGTTCCAGTGCCTCACCACCCTCAGAAGGAAGAATTCTCGTTGAGCAATTCTAGAGATGATGGAAAAAACGGACACGTCTCAGGATGAGATAGCAGGTACTCTGTGACTGCCATCGAGAGATTAGCTTTGCCTGAATGTTCTCCTCTTTAAAAACAGCAAAAGTTAGGCAAGGCAAAGCCAATCCCCACTGGTTTGTCAAGCGCATCCCGCAGGAGGGGGCTACCAACTTTTGCCCCAGTCCTCCACAGCCTGTCTTTACACTTCTGTCCTGGAAGCCCAGTTGGGCACCTCCCCTGTATTATCAGTGTGGTGGAACTATGGAGTTAGTTCTGAAAACAACATCTGAAAGTCCTGTAAGTACCTGGAGGCTCATGCCCACTCTTAGTGTAATTCTGTGCATGAATCTCTCCCCAGGCATTATCCTACTGATATCCTGAAGGCATCGTTATATTCCTGAAATCAAAGAAGCTGCATGTGGGAGGAAAATACAGACACAAAGTTCATCAGAACTCCGTATGTCAGTAAAAGGTAAATAATTGCAGGAGTAAATCCCTGCAAGATAAGTCCTTAATTGTTTAGGGTTAAACAGCAGCAGCATTACAGATGCCGAGTAATATTTTGGTAACCGCTCATCCTGGGAACACTTATATAATAAGATATTATTCTGCACAAGAAGGGGAGCAAAATGTGGACTGCGATGCCTAGAAACATTTCCAAATAAATATGAAATAATATTAAAAAGCACAAACAACAACAAAAAAAATCCATCCAAAGCAAGGGAAAAGAAAAAAAAAAGAGAAGCTATCATGAATTATTTTTTGTTAATAGTAGTTTCAGTTATTTCAAATACCTCTGAGATACTTCTGCTAATTTCTGTTTGCAATTATATTTCCTTATTTTTTCACCTTTCCTGTCTTACTGTATGAAAACCCTGCACTAAGCACAGGAAAAATTGACTAATTGGTAGTACTGAGAGGGTGGAACTGACTAAGTAGCGACACAAACAAAGTGCTTTCAAATTCACAGATCAAACTAGCTGGGAGGAAAAAACACAAAAAAATTCTTCAATTCCTTTCTTGCACACTCTGCCTTCCATAAAAAACGAGTAGTTTAAAACCTTCTTGGAAAGCAAAAAGATTGGGGGTTTTTTTGATTAATAGCACTCTCTTATTTGAGGAGGAAAAGGACATACAACATGAAAGAGGAAATCGGTCTTACATTTATGAAGTCTTGTGCCAGGTTCTCAGCTGGTGTGAAACAGCAGTACTTTCCTTGCTTAGGGGATGTCATTCCAATCTATATCAGCTGAGGATCTGACCTAAAGAGCTTTCCTCTTATAAATATAAAAACCTAGACTTACCTCAATTGAGACATTAAGGGTACCAGATTGAAACTGGATTGAAGTCTCATATTTTGAAAGAGTTTTCAACCTCTTCTTTCTATATTTTATCTGATAGCCTCTTTTACGGTCAGAAATAGCAGAAGATGTAAACATTCAGTGAAGTTTACTAGATTTGCTATACCTTCAAGGTGTACTTACAGATTTGATACGTGTTTTACTAAAGAAGAAAGTGCTTGCGTAGCACACTGATATGAAACTGTCTAAAGTCTCCAGGGAACATCTACCTATCTTCTCCATGAACCAGGTTCACGTACGCACCCATGAACCAACCAAGCTTGCCTATATGACAGGGACAAAAAGACACCTTAACTTTCATGTTCAGATTGGCATTCCACCTTTGCGTAGGTGGGTACCAGGTTTTAAGGCAACATCTCAGGTTTTTAACTCTTCACCTGCAAGTGCTACTCCAAGCATTGCCTTGGAGAGTATTGTGGGACCACTTGTCTGCTCCTGCTGGCCCTCTGCTGAAAACTGTTGTAGCTGACTGCTCAGACAGGTGACACTTTCTCCACTGAAAATAAAACGTAAAATTACAAATTGAGCTCAGCTAAGCCAGGTAGGAAAGGAGCACCAAGGGAACTCACGTGCCTAAGCAGCTTCAGTGCCTTCTGAAAATCCCACTTTTACATTTCATCCTCTGCAAAAAGCAGAGACATCGGCCGTGTACTTTCACACAGGAATAACAAACGATCTCTATCAATGGCTGTATCTAGGTAACAAAATCTATATTCATATTATGGAAACAATCTTCAACCACAACGTTCATGTTTTGTAATGTCACAACTCCCTTTTTGATTTTAATTGTGAATATTTTTATCGTGTTTTCTTTTTTACTAAATTTCAAGTTGAAACTACGGTTTATGGTCAGACGTGTGAAAATCGCACCTCGCAGTTCCACAGACATTTTTCCCTTCTGACTTTCGGACCAAATCCTCTCAGCTGACAACTCTCAAGCAGTTCTCTCGCAGTCCAGTCCCACACTTGCACTCCCTTGGAAGCTCATGCAGTGTGTTCGCATCAATACAGCCTCCTGCGTACTCCAAAGTCTACATGGAGAAGCTTCCTAGCTTATCCTTTCTGATTCTTGGAAGCATCAAGGCAACTCGGTGTCTTAAGACCAACCTAATGCTCATAAAACGGAAACTTCTACTAAAACAAGGCTGACCCTGTAGAAGAAGAGACGCGTATAAAGAGTGAGGAAGCTCCATGATAGATTGGATATTAGGAAAAAATTTTTTACCATGCGAGTTGTAGAACACTGGAACAGGTTGCCCAGAGAGGTGGTGGATGCTCCATCCCTGGCGATGTTCAAGGCCAGGTTGGACGAGGCCCTGAGCAACCTGATCTAGTTGGAGATATCCCTGTTCCTTGCAGGGGGGTTGGACTAGATGACCTTTGAAGGTCCCTTCCAGCCCTAACCATTCTATGATTCTATGATCACATTTTCACAGGCAGAGTTTCTGTCCGCAGCTGCACTTTCAACCAGTGTGTTTCAGTAGTCACGCATTTGCTAACACCTCAGAAAAGTTCATCTGTAATGCTGTCACTTGTAACCAGCCCAATTATCCCTGCTCATTCAACAATGAAAAAACAGTCTCCTATAAATGGCCCAGACACAAAAGTTGAACATCTTGGGAGATAAAAAAATGCAGCAGGTTAAGGTCTTACTCAAGAGTCCTACACAAATGAGTAAGCGGGCAGAATGCAGCCCCTTGGTGTAGAGTACAGGGACTAGAAACGCGTCTGAGTTTGATCATCGGGGCTACCAACGCGGCTACTAACACGCAGTTATGCGACGGGTATTTCTTTAGAACGTATCCAGAAACTATATCAAGCAGACTTGATGTAGACATGATGCTATCTAGTAGCAAGGCAAGGCAAACCCAATGTCTCTCTGCCACCTTCTACTCTAGCCTGAGTGCTGTGACTGCCATGAATTAGGACATTACGGCAAGATGTAACTGAATCAAAAATGCAATTAGGAGATCTTTGAGACAAACAACTATGAATTCTATCAGCATACAGCATTTATTAGCTGAAGAAATGGGCATGCACTGCAAACCAGGCTTCCAAGAGCACACAGTTATTCTTTTCATCTTCGGAATTTCACAGCCACTTTGGGGCTGAGAGTGTCAACACAATCTGCCAGTGAAGCCTGGATACACCCAAGGAGATATTCAAAGGGAAACGTGATAGCATCAGCAGAGGAGCTCAGTTACACAAAAGGAGAGGTGTGGCTGAACCACAACTTTTCTGATTCACATCAAGGCTTTCCCAAAGTTCAGAGCTGCGCCATCTGAAGAGGATGGTACAGACCCAGGGCCACCAGGAACACACGGTTACTTTCACAACCTGCTTCACTTGAACGGCAATGACAAAGGAAAAAGCAAGAGGAAGGAGAAGACAAGGCAGGCTCACCAGAGTGCGTCCTGAGGTGTCCCGTGAGGGCGTCCCTCCGTCGGCAGGCATAGCTGCAGAAGGGACATTTGAACGGTTTCTCCCCAGAGTGCAACTTGATGTGCCTCAGCAGGTTCCCCTTCTGGGTAAAAGAAGCTCCACACTGGTTACAGTGGAAGGGGCGGTCACCTGGAAGGGAGAAAGAGTTGTCAAGAAACATCATAAGATGCACAGAGCCCGTTATCCCACTCTTTGTAACACTGCCATCTTACATAGGTACGGTCCCCACTACTGTCATCTCACTTGCTAAAGTCAGAGACCTTTTGCACAAGGAGTAAAGCCTCCAGTAGTGATTTGGGGCTCTTCCCTTCTGCAGCCTCAGCTTGAGATGATAAATGCAGTCTGATTTCATACAGCTCTCTACCTTGGAGGTTTTAGCCTTCCTAAAAGACGAGCTCTGCTGAAAATTTAGATCCATAACCATGGCTTCGTGGTATTTATCTCTGGTTTTACACTTATTTTTAGCATGATTCCAATCCATATGAGTATTTAGAACCGATTGTAACAATTGGACTTGGACAGATGTTAAGGTCTTTGCTTCAAACCAAATCTTTTGCTTATATTGGATTTTAATTGAAATCCCTTTTTGAAGGCTGCTTTGCCTTGCTAGAGCAGCGTGAAGAGAATCAGCGCAAGTGAGGATCAGGCCTACAAACTTTGGGCAGTAGCAAACACCGAGAAAAATCTTATGCCATTAAACTGTGAAATAAGCAAATTTGTGTTCTACACAAAACTAAGTGAAAAGACTTGTTCAATGAAAATAAACAAATAAATTAACAGAAACTCTACATACCTTCACCCTCTCCCTTCACCCCATGCATTCACACACACATACAAAACTTATTTTGATGTTAATCCTGAACAGCGCAGATTGGGTCCATAACAACAAAACAACAACAATTTTTATTATTATTTAGAGGAAAACCCTTGACAAACTCACACAGGTTTTGTGAAATATCATCAAAACCATACTCTAAGTCAACATTTGTTGAGGACACTCAATCTGTTCCAGCATTCTTGGGCAGGCAGTCAGCTCTAATCATGTCCCACTGGGTACAGCGCAACTCAACAGGGCACAAGCATATACCCGTGCTGGCCACTTGTCTAAGCACTTTTCTGCAGCTGGGCTCTAGATGTTGAAATGTTTTCACCAACAAGGGCCCCAGTTCAACAAGGTCTTGAACATCTGATTTCAGATGTAAGGGGTCTCATTCATTTTTTTCAGTGTATCACCTATTACAGGAGCCTTGGTCAAATCCTGGTGGGACCTTCTGAGGTTGAATTCACTGGCCTGAAGCACAGTTCTCATGAAAAACAAACATGTTCTTTCATCTGTCACATCTCTCCAAAGCCTTTTTCAATTGCTTTAAAATGATTACTCCCTTGCTGGACAAAATTAATGCTATGTTTTTACCACAGCAGTTCATGTGTCTAGTGTAAAGTCCAACATACTGTTGATTCAAATGGAAAGAGGAGGAGGAAGAGACCTCTTACAGATGTCCGCTAGCTATTCTTGTTTCAGTGGTTTAAATCACTGCCAGCTTTACAGTCCTACCAGGAGGGCAGCAGAAGGCAGGCATGGAATATATATGCCATTCCCCTGCCACTTCACTTCACATGCATGAGCTGGAAATTACATCTGAAACCACTGCAGATGAGCTGAAGAAGATACTAAGGCTCCTACAATCTTGCCAACAATGTTATGGAGTAATGATTAAAAAAAAAAAAATAAAATCAGGGCATAAAGCTCTTCTTCCAATATGCTGAACACAAGCTCATCAGAATTGATAAGAAGTTTGTGGTTTCCCTTTTAAACTCCCACACTATACACTTAGAGGATCTGATTAGCCATTATCTTCTTTTATATCATTTCAAAATGTCCATAACAGAGATATGCAAAGAGACTGCAGTAGAAAAATACATGGCTTATTTTTCTTTTCTGTTTTGCTTTCGCTGTCTGAGAAAAAAGGCAAAACCCCTTCCTTTGACACGTTTCTCAGTATTCAGGAATGATAGCTTCAGTTTCAGGATGACAACATTAAAGAAGATAGCGAGTTTCTTACCAAGTCTACAATTTTTCCTTTTACTCCTGCTGTATTTAAAACTACGCAATCTGTGTGTTTTACCCACTACATCACCCACCTATCTTTGATATTCTGGAGGCCACACGTGAGCAGTTACTATTCCTCGATAAACTGGCAGCTGAAGAGATGCTGAAAGCCTTTGGTCAGGAATTCAAACAATCCCTGCACTAAAGTTCAGTGGCAAAGATGACCTGAAAACTACTCACCACAAAGTCCCCGATAGTCTGCTCCTCTCTGGCAACAGGCACAATCTACTACAACAGCACGTTTTACCTTAAACAACCTTTGTATCTATTTAAAGCTAGCAGGAATTCATTTTTCCTGCTGGCTTAATTCCGGGTAAATAACTGCTTTGATCTGTTTATTATGCTTTTGTCCAATCATTTGATTCCTGCTCCTTGTTTAAGCCCCAGGCTTGTAGGATGACCGTAATTTTAGTCACACCTTCATGCTATCGATTAGCAGCTTTTCCATTTAGCACAGCTAATCTGAGAGACAATTATCCAATAGAAGGGTGCACGAAAAAAAAAAAAGAAAGAACTGAATAATAAGATTCTGCTGGTTTTCCAAGAAGTCTGTTCCAGATACCAGCAAACCAGCCTTCTTTATCACTTCAGTGCCTGGAGAACTCTGTTTTCTAATTATTTTTCCTGCTTCCTTTTCCTAGTAGGTTTGTAAGCAATTCTCCAGTGTTATTCTTTCCTAATAGCAAAATAACAACCTTGACATCCTTATTCACTTCCCTTCCACTTCTGCGAAAGGTAAAAGTTTTTATTCATAAGCTGAAATCAATCACACTTCAAACTAAACACCGACTCATGAGAAGTCCTTACCTAAATACGTTTCTTCTCTACATGGCAATTCCTGACTGTTTTTCAAAAATGTTTTCCTATCTTTGGGGGTGATGGCAGCACAGACACACCAGAACCTATGGATGTATTAAACAAGTGGCGTGCATGACTACAAAAGGCTACTGCTAACAGCAAGCATGGTGTGTATTTCACACTTAAAGCTACCTCTGTATTTACTGTTTGACCCTATACTCACACTGATTCATTAAAATAAGAATTCCTTATAAGGAGGACATGTACTGGAATGCGACTAAGCAAGCTTTTTGCTTTTCAACACTGGAAACTACATGACTGCAAAATATTTTTCGTCGACCTTAAATATCAAACCTTTTCTCTATTTTTGAGCTAAATCAGGGCAGAAAAAACTCAAAGCTTAGCGATTAAAAAAAAAAGTTTCTGAGTGGGAAGAGGGGGGGGAACAGCTAACCAAACAAAAAAAAAAAGACGCTTCTCGCTTCTTTTCAACTCTAGATTTAAGATCTAAAGCCAGACAAAACCAAGAATGCCTAAAAAGCCTTGCTCTCCAGCACGGGGAATTTAATTATCTAAAGTTACTTCAGGAATGGACAAGGTAAGCCAGAGCTGACTATTACCTTTCATAAAGGCTTAGTAAGAGGTGCTTGTGCCAGGGAACGGCCCATAGAATTGAAGTAAATTAATAAATAAATATATCCACAGAGTTTTATCATTTTACAGTTAAATAAAGTATGAATTAAAAGGTATGGTTTCGAATATTTACTTCTGAATTACAGCAAAATACTGCTGAAACTTCACAGTTCATTAACATGCATCCATTACAGCTACGTCTCCTCCAGGAAAAATAATAATGAAATATTACTGCTCTTTAGCTGCGCCAGTATCTAAAGTACACAAGTTAACTTGCTGTTGTGTAAACAAATAGTGAGATGAAAGGTGAAGTGGACCAACAGAGTCAGGGTTATTAGCAAGACCTGGTCCTTTCATAAGCATCTTTACTACACAGCAGCTGGCTGGAGACCTCACAGCACACGCTACGAACGCTGTCTGGCTGATACAACCTGAAACCAAGTAAATGAACTGATTAACTTCCTACTAATAGCTTTCATGTTTTACCGTGTACGGATCAAATGTTATTGCAAAAAGCAAACCAACTCCTTTTTCTGCTTAATTGGAAGCTTCCCTGCACAATAACTCTCCTTTACCGCCTCAGCACGGAAGTGCTGCGCAGAAGTTTCGGTATGAGTTATCCTTCTTCGAATCTCGCACCGGTGCAAAATACATCAGTGATATATTCTGTATCAAAACAGAAATTTAACCGAGGACAAAGAGCCCACAGACCTCGCAACCAAGGAGACTTAGATTTTCATTACCCTTGGCTGGTAACTTTTGTCTCTTTCAAAAAAATCAAACGCAGCGACTCACAAAATAATAGATAATAATGTTCTCGTTAACAGTGAGGCCTGGTTATTTCTACAGCAGTGCTCAGGTCCCTTCCTGGGAATGTTTTAATAACTTTTTTTAAAAAAAAAAACACCTCTGGTTTTAAAGTCTCTTCCCAAGAAAAGAAAAGCCAGGACAGAGCCTTTCTAAATAGAAGAACTAGGTCCAGCGGGACTACATTTAACATCTGTCCCGGTTAAATGTATGTCTAAGATCTCACCCTTTTTTTGTTTAGCATGTACTTTTGATATGTCAAGGACAGCTTAGGTACTTCTCAAACAGGATTTCTTTTTTTTTTAATCTCTTAATGCAAAATTACTATCCCCATGCTGCCATCAGAAAGTATTTGCTCATACTAATAATACTGATTTTTCACCGTTTCATAGTAGGTTTTTTTGTTAACATTCAGCTAAAATGAAGCATTTCTCTTGATCCATCAGATGCTGCAACTGCTCTTGATTCTGCTCTGTCCCAGGAGCACAAACGACGTACTAGTTGTGCTACCAACACACTGACAGGCAGCGAGTTGCAACCTGCCTTTACCCCAGCGAAATGCAGAGCGGCAGACTTTGCTGTATTTCTGTATTTGTTGCTCTGGGGACTATCTAGCCTGCATAACTACTTGCTGTTCTATCAGATTCACTGGACGGGCTGCATATCACTTGAAATCAGTGCTTTCACTAGGTTTTTTTGTTGGGAAAAACCTACTTCCAGATAGGGCAATTTATTATAAAACAGTAGTGACAAATCTCTCATGAAAAATTTCTGGGAAAACCTGGGTGATTTCCAAGTGTCCTCCGTACAGAAATCCATGACTGCATGCTTTAGAGCGAAAAATCCTTTAAGTGAACTGGTAAAATATCAGAAAAGTTTAGTTACAGAGTACTGTAAGTAAAACACACCCTTATGCAGAGAGCGATTTCAAAAAAATCTAACCTCTCCTTCCTAACGCTTAAGTAGAAAATGAAAATTTAGATTTAAGGACCTAAGTAGAAACCATCACTTGTAGAAATTCGGCCCCACAATTTTTGATTCCGTGCCAAGTTGATTCATATTGCAAGAGGTAGGAGCCTGCACTAGGTTACAAATTACAAATTAAACCAAATAAAACCTTTCTACTAGATGAAAAAGACAGGCAGCCCAACAGAGTTAATTGTAATGTGTTAATATGAACATTTGTTTAATTTTTTCCTGGTTAGCTTCTTTAGGCATAGAAGTCTTTTATACTGAACAGCACGGTCAGTTTTTTCCTAATTTATTAATTGTGTACCAAAAACTTGAACTCTGCATGAAAAAAAATTAAATAGCATTCGGAGTTCCAGTGTTGCATATGTTCGGTTACAACGCTATGGATGCTAAAGCAGAAATTGAACATTTCCCTCATGGGCATATAACATATCTCATTTCACTGACTTTATGGTACTGCAAGCAAAAGATTTGAGACCCTCCTGTGGTTAGCACCCCAAAAAAGCCTAAAAATAACCTATCAGTGGGTCTAAGCGAGAAGGGGGCAAGACTGCTACCCCTGCTGCATCATGCCCTGCACCCGGAGACCCCCGCCGCGTCCACACAGAGAAAGCATTTAACCTCCAGGTGTTCTTAAAACAAAAAGGATGATCTCAACCCTCCCTTAGAATTAAAAAGTGTTTCAGAATCCAGCGGCGGTCCACATAAAGGACTGGACTTTATGGTGGAGAAAACCCACAACTCACAGTGCAAGGGAGAACCACACCTGGACCTCGCAGATCACAGAGGCAGCAGCACGGCTGCACCAGTAAACTCTTTCTGCTTTGCCAAAATTGAGGAGCAAGGAAATTTTAGTTTGGGCCCACTAGTAGAAAGCCTAAAGAGGTCAAAAAAATCACTGGAGTTCCTTTTCTTTACCTCAGACAAATTGGATTATTGACCTTATCTTCCTCCTCTCCTCTTCCCTCGACATCCCCAAGCACAAGCCCCTGGAGTACCCAGTGGCAATATTACACGCGCGGTCACCTCCTGCAGTAACAAAAAACTCTGATAAAGATGCTGCAACTCAGGGCACGTGCTGTGGAATATGAAATTTGGACCAAAAGAAGATAGTATAGGAGAGGAGGAAAATAAATCAACCCTGACACATGCTGTTTTTCCGACACCAGGACGTGGCACGGGAGGGAGGGGGTGGAGGGTTACCCTGCTCACCAAAGCAGGAGTGCATCACGCTTCATTCCCACATGGAGCGTTTTATTTATTTTCTGTCAGCGATGACAAAGAAATAGCAAGGCCTTTTCCTGATGCCCCCGCAGATTAAAACACACTTCACCTGCATTATCAGCGTTTCAGAGAAGTGTTGTGTTTGGTGATATCAGACGAGCGGGGCCATTGGCTCCGTGCCGGAGGCGCCATGGACCGAAGCATCGCTTGCACCACGTGCACGAGGCAGCGCCTGGGTGGATCCGAAAGATGAACGGGAAATCCCAGCTCGGTCTATCACGGGAAGTGGTGACTGCAGGCACCAGAAGAAATGGATGCTCCAGCACATGAGGAGGAGAGACGGGACGCTGAGCTCATCTACTCCAGCCTCATCCATGGCACAGATTATTTTCCCTGCCCCTATATCTGTTTGACCGTACCGTGACAGGATAAGACAACTGCTCCTCAGGAACAGCTGGATAACAGCTGGAGAAGACTGTGTCCCTTTACGTGTGTCACGCAGCCAAAGCCATATGGCACAGCTTCTCGCAAAGCCTCGGTCCCTGGTGTAAGGAAAGCCACACTCTCGTCCCAGCATGCATGCAAATTACAGCCTCTCCTATGGACCGCAGCATTGTGTGTGATTTACAGAGAATGCTGTCAGGCTTTTTGGGAAGGCAAAAAGGACTTGAGTTTTTGCCAATGCAAACAACTGGCCAGACCATGCTTCGGTTGTGTACGGATAAACAGGAGAGTAAGGCGGGATCCAGCTCCCAAAACATGCTTAAATTGGCTTTGGGGGGGTAAGGATTTACATGCCAGTTGCATTAGCTGATAAAGAACATCATCCGTTTCCACTCGCTAGGGACAACCTCCCTTCCCTCTGCCATTCTCCCTCGGGCTGCAAAACCAGACTGCCCACAGGTCAGGGCTCATTCCAGAGCCGGGCCAGCCCATCGCGCCCAGCTGCCGAGGAAGTGGCAATATATTTTAAAATCCTGCACTTTAAAAGACAGATACCAGTATGTTAAAAATATTCCTTAAAATCAAGGATGTGGAAATCCAAGCAAACTTCTCCTTCTGCTGAGGACAGCGAAGCAGCAGCATGTATTAAAAACCAAACCAACAAAGCGGGGAGGGGGGGAAAATTCCCCACAAAATTTGCCAACTGCTTTACTGACAGTAGAGCACCGAGCTGCACATTAAAAGGAATGCCATTTCTATATGCTTGAAATCATCTGTATAGAGCAATACATCACAGCTCCTCTGCTCGCATGGGAAAAGTCAGAGCTCTGCAAGGAACCAGCAGTAGCCCGAAGGAAAAAGCTACCAGTTATGCAATTCCTACCCATGCACCCGCACACCGCCGTCTCGCCCGCACCCAGACGAGGTTTTGTTCTGTTCCCTTTGAATTTGCATGTCTTCTTTAACGTGAAAAAGGCAGCTTGGCTGTATTTAAAAGATGCCCTAGCTATTCAGTATCTCAAAAAATGCAGACCATTTAATTAAGTACCTAAATCTACATTTAGCAGGTCTAATTCAGCTGCTCGAGTTCAAATACGTGGACTCTGATGCACCTACAATACATATGCTCAGATACGTGCGAGTGGCAATGAAAACTTTTAGGGAGGTTGAAAGCTGGGGACTCAGTCTGTTACGTTCTCTGTTATCTTTCCCTTTCCTAGTAACAGCACGTCAAATTGTTAATCAAGATTTTGGTTCTCCAGCTAATGCTTCTCCCCTGTCGTAACTGCTGTCTAAAATCATGACTGCATCATAAATGATACTGCAATGCTTTGCATTATACATTTATGTTAAGTTATTATCAATACGACTTATGTACAGGGCATTAACTATGTAATATATATTTATTATTCCTTTGTACAGAAATTCTATTGATTTCTTTCCCATCGAGAGCACACTACTTGACTGCAAACTACCAGGTTTACAAAGGGATTACACAAAGTCTTTCCTACTCTACCTTAAAACCCCACTTTTCTTTTTATATCTTAGCAAATATCTCAGTGTGAGTCTCTCACTCACTAAATAACAGCAGAGAAAGATAAAAAACAAAGTATCTTTCATTTTGTCCAACAAATATGAAGAACAAACACCTACTGAGGCTCCAACACAGCAACCTGTGCTCAACCTTAATAAGATTTAAGGGTGTATCTTAAGTTAAGCATATATTGTAGCACTTCAGGTGACTTACATGAGCTCAAATCTCATAAAAGTTAAGCAGAAGCTTAAGTGCTTTTTTGAATCAAAGGCTCTGCCAGGTAGACTGCTGCAAGACCGGAGAGCATCATCTTCTGGCATCATCTGTACTTTTATCCTGTTGGAGGTAACTGTCACTCCCACCCCAGGCGCAGCAGAGGTGAGTGAGTACCAGCCCCTTGGGCACTCCAGTTTGTCATATTAGCAAAAACTCCCCTGAAATTCCCTGTTTTGAACTTCAGGCCCCAAAAACCTGCTCCATCAGCGTACTGCAAAGGGTCTGTCTGCCTCTTGAATTCTCAAATCCATCCGCCTGGTAAGCTGTGTTGGTCTCTGAACAGTAGTGGTACTAAGAGCACTAAAACCAAACGACAGGAGAGCGCAAGCACTGAAAGGTGCCACGAAAACGCTATCTGAGTGGTGAGGGGGAGCCAAGCACTCGCCCATGGCAGCGGCTCAGGTGAGGTTTCCCTGATGCAGCTGTCACGCGACGAGCAGCAAGCCCACCCTGGCATCAGGATCGCTAGGTACTGAGTGTCCCCGGCAGGGTTTGCCGATCCCAGGTTTGCCAGGCCACCGGCATCGTGCCCAGCACTTGCAAAGGAGGTGTGAGATCCCCAGGAAGCTGCTGGCATCGCCCACCTGTGGGCACCTCTGAGGGAAGACCATCTAAGACTCACCTTAAAGGCTGAAAAGCCTTGCACATGCACACACACACACACCCCCACATCCACACACCAGAGAAGGACTCTCACTGTCTTGCCCCTGGTCAAGAAGAGTAAAAAAGGCAATTTCCAGACTTCTGTGCTGTTTTTAAGAAACAAAGGCTGGAAATTGACGTCAAGGAAGCACCATGCTTGCCAGAAACACAGCATCACCAGAATGCGGGGAGAAGGAAAAGAACAAAGCCCACGAAGCCCATCTTTCCCCTCCCCAGCCTCCTGCTACCCCACGAATGAAAAGGGAAGAGAGAAGAGTTGTCAGGTAATATCAACATCAGACGCCACGGGCAGTCATCGGATTTTGTTTCAGCTGCTTACCAGTGTGGCTCCTTTTATGTACCATTAGCACATTGGGCCCAATGCAAACCATGCCACAGACGTCACATTTCAGTTTACCATTCGGAAGCCGGATTCCTCCCTCGCTCGATAGCTCCTGGATCTTTCTGTTATCCATCATCTCGTTACTCTCAGTGAGAGGCTCTTCCAGGCTGCTTCCTTCATCATGAGCCCTGATCTCATCTTCCTGACTCAGGGGCTTCCTGTCACATTCCTCATCACTTTGCATTTCTAGCTTTACTGAATTTGCTGGAAAAAAAAAAAAAAAAAAAGAAAAAAATTTAAAGATGTGTATTTTCTAAGTTCCCAATCGCTAATATCATGATAAATTTCTATTATCAATATTCAAGCAAAGCCTTGAAGCTCAAACCAACACAAGGGCCTCATGGTGGTGATGGCACCACGAGTTTTTTCTTCACCACCGCATATTTCTTCAAGGTCTTGTTTGTGATTTTTTTTTTTTTAATTCCTAATTTCTATCCCTATTTTACAGCTTAGAAACTAAGGCACAGCATGATCCAGAGACCTACCAAAAGTTGCAGAGATGCAGCAAGCTTAAGAGCTCACCGCCCGCTTCTTGGCTTGAAACACAGGAGCTCCCTTCCTTCCAAGGAGCCAAAGTCACAAGAGCAAAGGACACAGCCACAGCTGCTTCTCCGAGGTCCCTCCTGCCCAGTGCGCCGAGACGCAGGGTTTCCAACGGCAGGACACTGTCCCACCACAACTCGTGGAAACAAGCACCCTTTGCAGCAGGATTGTTCAAAGCAGGGACCTAGTGAAGCCAGGCTTGGGGGCTGTGTCGGTGATCTCCAAATCACCCTGCCTGCAGGGGCAGGTTTCCTGACAGAGGAGAGATCAATCTCTGGATGAGCCTCCAGTGCTTTTTGCTACCATCTTCTGATTCCCATAAATGGGACACCGCCAAGGCAAACAGGTCTGAAGCGAGACCTACACCACTGGATTATTTATATTTGCAAGTGAAATAAGCACAGTTGAAGATCTTTTGTATCTGCCTGGTTGGACTGATGGACTCACTACCAATTTCTGTGGTTGTCAGGTCGCAGGACAAATCTCCTCTAACTATCCACAGCTTCTGGGATCAGCAAGTCTTTAAAGAAAATGAACGCATCGGGAGTTTTCACGTAGGGTTGTCAGTGCAGGGGTGTTTCAATCACCAGACACCCCGACTTCGTCGCCTCAGTGGTTGGCTGACACTGCCCAAAGGCCCGTTCCCAGAGTCACGCTCTCCATCTGCGCGGCCGGCCAGAAGGCAAGCCCACGTGCCTGCTTCCCTAAGCCTTGATCCTGCTGAGGGGTTTAAAAAGGAAGTGATTCAGCCTTCATATCTAAGCAGTCTTTGACCTCTGTACTAAGGCCATCAGCACGAGTGCTGGTGACAGCAGTGGACCTGGAGTGCCAACGCGTGCCCTGAGCATGGCCGGTGCCTCCGAACCCTGGGCTGGTGTGCTCCAGAGCTGCCGCCCAAGGGGTCCCTGCTCTGGAACGCAACGTGAGAGATAGGAGTAAATGCATCTGAAACTGAGATGCCTCACAGCAATTAAACAGCCAGCTTGGAAACATCAGAACAGCAAAGCCCTACTACTTAGACTTTGTCCTTCATCCCCCTTTCCCCAGAATTTACGGTTAAAGAAAACCCAAGGTTCAGAGACTGATGTTGATGTTGCAACTCTAAAACACTGCTGTTACTCCTAGGCAAAGCATAATGAACAGGGTAAAGGCACCAGAGACCAAACAACGGTAAGACGCTGCTTTTTAATCATAAAATTGTTGAAACGCATCTTCCAGTATTCATCAAGGCGCTAATGGGAGCTAAGGAACGGAAGCCCTGTTACGGCAAAGCCCATCCGGAGCAAGGACACAGCCACACTGGATCACAGCAGACTGGTATCAGCACAGGCACCGTCACCGAAACGCTCTGTAACTACGAAATACTCGAGCGCTTCATTTATAGAAGGGAGTTGATATTTTTGTTGCCACAGACATGCCTTTATTGCTTAAAAAAAAAAAAAAAAAAGAAAAACAACAACACAGCCTAAAAGCTCGACCAAGACCCAGCCCCAGCCGGTGCCCGGCGGCAGCGTGCGGCTGTGCTGGCCGGGGTGGGGACAGCTGTGCCCACCTACCCTCGGTGTGATGGAAGAGCACAATCCCACAGGGATGGCTCTCTGCTCCACGGTGCTAACTCTGGTACCAACAGCATGCACGGGCACACACGTAGATGGAAGCAACCTCTTGCACCCAAACCTGGCCATGAAAGAGACACCCTAAACTTTAGGTAAATACAAATCTCCCTGCAAGGACAAGAAACCTTTTTCTTAGTAGTTTCTTCTTCGAGGTCACCACTACTTCAATGAGGGGAGGAAGGAAGGCAGAAACAGGTCAGCAGGAGGCTGTTTGCACAGGAGCACAAGGGGTCTGTCCCACCACGGCAGCAGGAGAAGTGATGGGAAGCCATCCCACGCTTGTGCAGAGCCCACAGTACGGTGGGTGGCACCACCCCCGCCAGCCTCGTGACCGGGGGGACGCACCCTCGGTGGAGGGGCTGAGCAGAAGGGAGGAAGAGTGGGAGCTCTGGCAGCTCTGTGAGCTGGCAGAGGGAAAGCCGAGGTCCTAGTCCCACCTCCTCACGGAAAGCACGCGTTGGTGATTTATGGACAGCCCACTTTCAGAGCTACGGAATGGCAGTTCCCTCTAATAATAGCAGCCTTTTGGGGTATTCAGCAAGTCTGAGAATGAAGCCTGAATAAACGGTTTGCTTTCTTCAGGAGCAGGATTTAATACACTTGGCCACACAAGTAGCTATGGCAGAGCCAGAAATAGTGCCCTGCACTCCTCACCTAAAACCCCGGGTCACTGCCACAAGCCTGCACGCTCCCCTCGCACAGCGATGCACAAACCAGCCAAAAACCGCACAGCAATTGTGTACATTTATACCTACTCACCAGAGAGAGAGAGAAAGCCTTGTATCTTACGTATATAAATTTTTGCCTCTGTTTCCCTGACACGGAATAATAAACACTTGACTGTAATCAGTGCTGAGCACCATGAGTTCCTCATTCAAGCCCGTGGACCTCTGGGTGCTCAGCACGTAGGACGGCAAGGCTGCAAGAGCTTACGAACGGGGAGATCACTCACTTTACCTTGCCCTAGCGTGCGTTTCTGCTGAATCGATGGCTTTTATCCAACAGGATAAACAGCACGACAAAACAGAGCGAGCTGTTTGCTGAAATGCAACCTCCCCAAACACATAAATTGCATGTAGTCCCCTGTTCTCAGCCAGCCTTTGAAACTACCATCGTTTCGTGGCACTGTCTTCGTTTTCACCTACAGCCACAAACTCAGAGAGCGTAATGAACGCTGCTCCAAAGAAAAAAAGAAATGTTCAAGGGATGTTGATGGCTATCCTGCATCATATACAAGCCTCCACACCAAATTTCACCCTGGGTTCCCTTGTCTTTCTTGTTCACATCCTTGCTAAAAGTGGCAAGCTTTCTCATTCCTTGGCAAAGCAAAGCATAAATAAGTACATGGAAAAAAAAAATGTTAAGTTTTTGGCACTTTCCTAAAAATCACAACAAGAGATAGCAGGGATGAACTGTAATCCAGCTCACTGAAAAGCACGAACTTGAAGTCAAACCATTTCCCTCCAGTTAATACTAAGTTCCTTTCACTTTTTCCCAGTCCAGCACAACACCTCATGGGGAAAAATAAAAAAAAAAAAAAAAGAGAGAGACAACCAGCCACAAAAGCTTCTACTCATTCTACCTATGAACATGAAGCTAATGGCACATATTCACCAGACCACACAGCAATGTTTCTCTCTTTTTCTTTTTTTTCCCTCAGAGCACCAACCAGCTGATCTTGAATCACACTTTATCCTGAGTGGCCAAATTGAATACAATTATTGTTAATGTCTCATAAGTGCTAATTAAACTGCAGTTCCCTGTCAAACAGCATTTTGGCAAGTTGTCAGTACCAAAATACTTCCTTCACCCACAAATTAGTGTAGCTACAAACCAGAAGTTGGAAAAACCACCTAAGAAAAATATTCCTCCTGTTTCATCCTGCGTCGTGGAAATTTGTCTCTCTCAAAAGTGAGATCTGAAGGAAAGAAAAAAAAACCAAAACCCTCCCGTCTTGCTGAGAGATTTGATTCCCAGGTGGGGTGTAAATTAAAGCAGTAGTCATCTTTTTGTTAAGCAAGCAAGCTGGAGTGCAATTCCCTGCTACAGAACCGAATTCCTTCTGTCCAACGCACCCGGGAGCGAGCAGCAGGGCTATGTCCCTCTGTCTCCTCCGCTGTCTGCTGTCCTAGGTCGTTGCTTATTTTATCTGTGGCCTTGGAAAACCAGGCTGGCCACTGTCACCAAGGGTTTGTGGTCTCCAGCTAGAGGTTAGCCTTTCCTGGCAGCAGCCATGCACCACCAGCCTCTTCCTGCTGCCCCCGGAGCAGCAGAAAAAGCAAACCCGACCCCTCGAGCCTTCCCGCGCCTCTTCCCCCCTTCCCTCCTCTCTCGCCGGCAGGAAACAAAGCTTTGGCCCAGCTTCAGATACTCATCCTTGAGGAGGCAAAATTCAAACCTGCCGCCCCCAAAGAGCCTTGGGGTGGCTCCGTGGGCGAACGCGGCGAAGGACGTTTGCAGCTAACGTGGATGCAGCGCGTTCTCTAACCAAACTCGTCTGATAGAGGGGGCAGGTGGGGCATCAGCTCTCCAGGGGCCTGCTGCGGATTCCCTGTCCAGAAGGCCATCTAATGCAATATTCAAAACCTGGATAACATGTCTGTCCTCACCCTAGAACACAAAGAAATTAAGACATTGCTGTTTCCCTCTGGAAAACGAGACTGAGCTGCAACTCCTGCGGCACAGTGACGAGCAGCTACGGCACAACCTTCTGCACATCGTGCTGTCAATGGTCAGCGACGCTGCCTGTTTTAATCACAAACTTCTCCTAGGCAGTGGATTAATGACATTGCTAATTGGCAGCTAAAGGCACGTAGAAAACGACCCAGCTTCCTGCATGTTTTGAACCCGGGTACCTAGTCCTTACACACTGCAACACTCGGATGCCGACTGTTTCTATGCTATGAAACGCCCTGTTTCTATACGTTTAAAAGCACTCAGTAATGGTGAGTGGAATACATTGAATTTGAAGAGCTGGAACAGCAAACCGAGGAGTGTTTTGTAAAATGAAAATTAAAGGGGGAGGAGGAGGGGGAACTCTTCTGT